ATATTACCTATAAGGTGCGCTAAATTCAGTATTAATTTTACGGCGATTGCATTGCTCGTTAAGCCAATATTCTCATTTAATTTCAAATGTAAGGGGTGGTCGGTGACTTTTGAGACGGCACTGTAGTATTGTGGCATATAGTTGTATCTCGTTTTGCATGCGGATTGCTGTCCCGTCACGTAATTTTATCGATATGTAAAAAGCGGTTAAATCCTGCGAATTGCTCATTAAAAGATTTTATATTTATTATCATACTATTTTTATAGTACAGGTTAAGGTGATTTCTTGAATGAGCTGACTATTGGCTAATCGGAGTAGGTAGATAGTACGAGTTCTACGTATGCACGTGATTTTAGATTATTTAAGTCGTGGTTTCTCGGAGTAAAATTCTTAATATTAACGAAGAACCACTGTTGCTATGTCTCAAGAACAAATATATAACAAGGCATGGATAGACAAGAGCGTTCGCGACCAAACAATACAGTGCTATTCAGAAGACGATATTAGCATAGATCGCAGATCTGTTGGTCATGGTGGATACGGAGTGGTGTACAAAGCAACGGTGAAAAGGACTGGGCAGCAAATTGCCATGAAAACTTCGTTTCCGGATCAATATGGAACCGAGCAAGACTTCTATAAAAGATTTGTCAAAGAGGTTACTATTGCTTGCCTTTACCGTGTTTTTGTTACTGTTGAACGGGATATTTTTGGTCATGTAACTAAATTTATGTCATCAATCAGTTGAAAAATCATCAGAAGGTGGGTTCCCATCCGAACGTCATTCAATTTTTAGGGCTATACAGAGGTAGAGGGTTTTTTCTTGAAGTGAAATTGGTTTATCAAACAGTAGGAGTGAGTTATATCGAGTCGTAACTTTCTGTTCTATTCCATTATGCGAATAGATGACTCCAATCATTATCACATGATTTTGGAATTTGCTGACGGTGGAAGCTTGCGTGAACACTTGACCAGACATCCTAATTTAAATTGGGGAGAAAGACACAAGTTAGCCTTGGAAATTACTAACGGGTTAAGACATCTACACGGCCTAAATATCATTCATAAGGACTTGGTACGGATTGTTATTTTTCCACATTTGGAGTCTTAACCATAACATTACAGATTCTGATACAAGTTGCTATATTGCTATTTTATTTTAGTCTTCTACAAATATTCTTATTCAAGGAGGTGTTGCAAAGATAACCGACTTTGGCTTGTCTAGCGTCCTGAGACAAATTATGTCCTCGTCAAATGGTACTGGAAATTTGGCATACATAGATCCAGGATCCATCCAAAACTTGAAATATAGACGAGGAAAGAAGTCCGATGTCTTTAGTCTTGGGGTAATACTTTGGGAAATATCCACAGGAAAAGTCCCATGCGGAGGTCTTACCCGAAGTGTAGATATTACTGTATATAGAGTGCGGGGTCTTCGAGATAGCGCTTCTGACAACACGCCTAGGGAATACGTTAAATTATATTCGGACTGTTGGGATGAATCTCCTGCAAATCGACCACATGTAGAAGATGTTTGTAAAAGGTTAGAAATATTGCCCGAGTTGGATGACCTCAACGAATTATTAAATAATGAGCCGTCTAATGAATTGGCATTAGAAAGGAGAGGATATCTTTCTTATAATCTCGGTCAATATAAAAATGCATTGGCCGATCTCAACAAATTAATAGAGATTCGACCGATTAATGCAACCGCATTAAAAAGAAGAGGAGAAGTTTATTACAAACTTTGTCAGCTTGATATGGCATTAAATGACTTTAGTAAATCATTGGAGATTCAACCGAACGATGCAGAAGCATTGGCAGCAAGAGGAGATCTTTTTTATAATCTCGGTCAATATGAAAATGCATTGGCTGATCTCAGCAAATCAATAGAGATTCGACCAGTTAATGCATTTGTACTAGAGAGAAGAGGTGAAATTTATCGCGTGCTTGATTTGTACGATGATGCACTAAAAGATCTCAATAGATCGTTGGAGATTGAGCCCAACAATGCGCGAGCATTGAGTGTAAGGGGAGACGTAAATCGCGTACTAGGGAGTTATGATAATGCTTTATGTGATCTCAACCGGTCATTAACGATTGAACCGAATGATGTCTGGGCATTGAGGAGAAGAGGAAATGTTTATTACGCTCTCGGTCAATACGAACCGGCACTAAACGATCTCAATAGATCGTTGGAACTGGAACCGGATAATGCAACAGCATTGAGTTTAAGAGGAGCTGTCTATCTCAATCTTCAACACTATGACGACGCGTTGAAAGATCTTAATAAGTCTTTGGATATAAAAGCTAATGCTTCGTGGGCGTTTAGAGTGAGAGGAGATATTTTTACCAAACTCGGGTTGCATGACAAAGCCCGAAATGATATTAATCGAGCAATGGAACTCGAAGCAGACGTTCTAAACAACTGAAAGCAAGAGAGGTTTATGTTACTACATTACTAATATGAAAATTTCTCAATAAATTATTGAATTACTTTTAAAGGAAATGAAAGAAACTACTACAACGTTACAATTACTTGCAATATTCTCTCCAATTCACAAATCTGCGGTACACAAGTAAGATTCTATTGCAATGTTAAATAATGTTCAGCATATTATTCAGTATATTATTATGACGCCGGTCAGGTGGCTTACATACCGACATCTTTTAGCATTAACTTACAAATAGCCCACCACAATTTATGATAAATATTTAAGATTACCATTATTAATTTACATAGTTTCTCGGCTAAATAAATTAAGAGAGAATTTACTGTTGGAAGCACCGCGAGTCTCTTAATGGTTTAGCCTATTTTTGGAAGGTCATCCAATGGAGAACTGTTCGTTTCTAATTACAGTTTAGATGTCTTCTCTGGCCCACATTGTAATTATCCAGTGCTATTGTGAGCATGAGAATGGCGAGGAAGAGCGTCTTTGAATTTGCCGTGAAATTATTCATAAACATACAGTTAACATAAATAACTACTGAACTGTCGTAAAAACGTCCGCTCGCGTTCTCTTTTAGATATATAATTCTGCCTCTTAAATTATATACGTCCAACTACAGAGCGGATGCGCGAATCATCATTATCATGTGACTGAAAATAGTGTTACAACGCGTCCACTAAATATGTGGTCGCGTTCGGAGTGACAAGTTTGTACAATAATTTTATTTCATTTATTATGGCGTTTTCTATCGATGAAAGGAAGAAAGAAGATGAGCTCTTTCATGAGCGTGTTGGCTTTTATATGGAGTTTCTGGAGGCTGAAGTATCCTTTATCGTTATAAACTGGTTATCGAGGTCGTTGATAGAAGTTGAAGGAACATTTTTTGCCCATAGCTATGTACACCATATTAGATAAATACCCATACAGTGTATATTCAACCTCTAATGTAGTTACATTGAGTGATCGGTTGGCTGCTGTCTGTTGTCCGTGCTTGTGGGCTGTTTCTACAGAGCATACACCGACGACTCATCAATGACAAAGTCCAAATTCACTACGTCTTATTCTTTAATTGGAATTCAAAAATGAAAACACGCTAGGTTTCCAAAGCATCCTACAAAAAAGAAATAACACAAATGCTTGATAGAAATGAGAGGCGTCTTATTGTCAGTATGGACGATCTACGCGAGTACAACCCGGAGAAGGCATTAGAGTATGTATCCATGCTGTTGTCGAACGTATGAACTTAGGTTTTTCTGATCTTGTTCGTTTACAGAACGATGACAATACCAAATGAAACGATTCCAGCGTTTGAACAAGCATTAAAGGAAGTAATTAAGCATGTCAAACATCCGATACGACATCAGATTGACGACGACCAACAATTTCACATTGGATTCAAGGGAAGTTTTGGATCTAATCATGTCAGTCCACGGACGTTGAGATCCATTTATTTGGGACAGTTGATTTGTATAGAGGGTATTGTCACTAAATGTAAGTTTATTGCTGACTGATATTTTTATTGGTTTGGTCGTATGGCATTTCGCATACACATCTTTGGGGAACTGTCTAACTATAATCCAATATTTATTAGGTGGCCTCGTTCGCCCGAAACTAGTTAAAAGTGTCCATCATTGCGAGAAAACCGGGAGTTATTATGCTAGAGAGTACCGAGATTCTACTATGCTTGGTAGCTCGCAACCGACTACGGTTACATATCCAACAGAAGATGATAATGGCAATCCGCTTACGACAGAGTTTGGATTCTGTTCGTTCTGTGATCATCAAGTAATTTCTATTCAAGAAATGCCAGAGAGAGCGCCAGTCGGACAATTAAGTAGATCATTTGATGTCATCCTTGATGATGATTTAGTCGATTCAGTCAAGCCTGGAGATCGTATTCAACTTGTCGGCATCTTTCGGTCATTGGGGAACCGAAATAAAGGAGCTACCTCCGCTACATTCAGGTAAGGTCACTACGTGCTACAAGCGAAACAAGTAAAAAGGAGTTAATTTGTCCGTTTGCGTGTTCATATCACATCTGTAAGCATTAAATTGTATGCGTATTGTTAACTATTGATTAATATACTCGACTATTACGCATAGGACTATAATTATCGCTCAAAGTGTGAATGTGCTATCAGGAAAAGACGTTGGTCAGACTAAAATGACAGAGAAGGATATTAATAACATCAAGAAATTAGCAGGGACCAAAAAGTATTTATTTGATCTGCTTGCTCGATCAGTTGCTCCGTCTATCTTTGGACATGACTATATAAAGAAGGCTATATTGTTGATGCTTCTTGGGGGAATGGAGAAAAATTTACCAAATGGCATTCATATAAGAGGGTATCTATGATACATCCGGGTTACAAGTTCTTTATTTGTTCTCTTGCCTTTCATAAGTTTCTCACCACTGTTCAATTAGGGATATAAACATGCTAATGGTAGGTGATCCCTCGACGGCAAAATCTCAACTTCTTCGATATGTCCTCAACATTGCCCCTCTTGCCATCGCTACAACGGGTCGCGGATCATCGGGCGTTGGCTTAACTGCGGCAGTCACATCAGATAAAGAAACGGGTGAAAGACAGCTTGAGGCAGGAGCCATGGTACTTGGCGATCGTGGAATTGTCTGCATTGACGAATTTGATAAAATGAGTGATATCGATAGAGTATCCATTCATGAAGTAATGGAACAGCAGACTGTAACAATTGCTAAGGCTGGAATACACACCTCACTGAATGCAAGATGTAGTGTTATTGCTGCCGCCAATCCCGTTTACGGACAGGTATAATTCTTATGTATCTGAACGTGATTGATGCTTAATTACATTAACATTATTGTTTTATAATATTTCTAGTATGATGTTCATAAACACCCGGCACAGAATATTGCCCTTCCCGATTCTCTTCTCTCTAGATTCGATCTTTTATTTGTCGTCACCGATGAAATAAATGACACTCGTGATCGAATGATCTCTGATCATGTTCTTCGTATGCATCGATATCAATCGCCAAGCGTAGAACAAGGTGTCCCAATCAGTGATATGCCATGTGAGCGAATTCTAATGGGAGAGAAGGAAGAAGAATTACAAGAGACTCCAGTGTACGAGAAGTTTAACGAGTTGTTACATGCTAGCTTGCAGGCTATGCAGGCTACCCAACCGAAGAAACCATCTCAAAAAAAAACCAAGAATCTTGAAATTCTCACTACGCCATTTCTGAGGAAATATATCCAGTATGCTAAGACTGAAATAAAACCCGAATTAAGTGCGGAAGCTGCAGATTATATTGTTTCTGTATTTTCGGATTTACGTAACAATGATCCTGCTGGTAATCAAGCTAAGGTCGGTTATTAAATCTTTTATTAGTTTACCATGATAGAATAGTTTATTGGTTTATGAATCGACATGTAATAACAATGTATCTCACTTGACCAGACAACGCCAATGACAGCTCGTACGCTGGAAACACTGATCCGTTTAGCAACAGCCCACGCTAAATCACGACTGAGCAATGTGGTAGGAGAAAAGGATGCAAGAATCGCTGAAGAGATTGTCAGATATGCGCTATTCAAAGAAGTTGTCTCTCATACACGACGAAAGAGACGAAGATTGAGTCGTCAGGCTGCAGATACGTCTGACTCGGATGACAGCGATGATGACAATGACGATGACAACAATGATGCCGGCAACGATGCAAGCGATAATGCCACCAATTATGTCATCGACAGAACCAACGAGACCAACAACGAGACCAACAACGCCAACAATGATGTCAATAATGATGCCACCAATGGTGTTAGCGACGATGTCATTCCTGAGCAAGGTCCTTCAGAACAACGATCGCTTGTTGAAACACCAAGGTAAAACATTAATTTATCCTCCAATCGACGAGCAATTTCAATGAAAATAATACGCCACATGTTTTATTGACGTTTGCTGCTTTCTCGGTTCCAGGTTCAAATTATTCCAAGATAGGATGGGAGATCTCACCTCTTCAGAGCTGTTTGATGGTCAAATGATACTTACAACAATGCTGGCCGAGATAAATAACGGTTTGCCGGATGAAGAACAATTTAGTGTTACAGAAGCAGAATCAGCATTGCAAGTGATGGCTGACAGGAATCAAATCATGTATAGTGGCGGAATTGTCTACAGGATATAATCCAAATAAAAGTATTATTTTTAAAAAGAGCATTGTATGGTTATAATAATGTGGGACAAGCATTGAAAGTTTATAAGTTTTTTTTCTGTTGTTCATGTGTCCAAACTTCGATCACTTTGAACGAAACAGCTACGCAGAGTCTGTATCGATAAATACCACAAAAGCTGCTCTATGAGAAATAGACACTCTTTTGTTTTCCAAGATCATGGGTTTGCATATCAAGACGTGTTTTGAGAATATTCCTTTACTTTTTGTGGATTAGTACAGACTTTATGAGCGTGTTTTTACTATTGAAAGTTGGATTTTCATATGAGGCTTCCTATATGTTTGTAACATCACCTCAATAACGGACTTGTCAAATCAATAATGGATATATAGCGAAAAGCTAAAATTTCGAACTTATGAATCGACGATCGATGGATGTGCCATTTTTAAGTACATTTAAACATACTACTAGTACAGAAAGTTTGTGAGATAAACTCATTATTATAACAGATATAGCCTCGTGTTTCATCACAAGTCCCCTGCTGTTAGAAAAAGCTATCTCGCCACACAGCAACGCCACCGCCGCAAGGCATGTGCAAGATGGTAAAACTCTGTATGATGGGCAACCTTTAGTGAGTCCATTTGTCAAAATTCTGACTTAATTGCTGAAACAAAGGAAACCTTTCAATTTCTTCCCAGTTTTAGAAGTAGTTGCGATTTATATTCGGTAGAAAAAAAAATAAGTTTACTAATTAAATTAATTAATCCTACACTAACTTGAGTGAAGCTCGGCTAGCGATATCACCACTATTTAGCGAGGGATCTGTTTGGAAATGCTGGCACCTTCGACGCTCAGATCGCAATGTAACTGAGATCGATTGGAATGATAATTTGCGCATTGATTGACTAGGAAACCAGTTTTAGAGGTTTAGCACGTGTACATCTCGTAGAGTTAAAACTGCATGAAATCTTCAAAATTCCCTGAACCTAATAATACATGTAAGATTTCTTAGTATTTAAAGCGGGTGTAGTGCGAGTCGATACTTGCTACTGGTACATAAGTCTCCGTAATAAAGCCCAACAAATACGTTATGGATGTCACCAAACCAAAGATATTGGAAGTCTCCCAGTGTACCTCCTCAAATACTTAACAATTAGACTTCCATCTCTGTCTGAAGAATGGGGTTCATAAGAAGACGTTGATTACAAAATCTCGGTCCGGCTATTAACACGGTTAGACGACAAAACATTGATTTTGAAACATACCAAGAATAATACGGCAACGTAGGATTGACTCTGCAACTTACACCGTTAGTTATTCATTTAAGGCTATCAAAATTGTTAATAATAAACATCACATAAAGCTCTCTTGAGATTGGCTGCATATATTTCCGGTAAATGGAAACCGATTACTATTATACGCCCATACACCTACTTACCAAGCATTGAATGTTCAGACGCTTCAATTGTTATGGTTGTCACCGACCAACTCTATAAGCACAATTGCATCATCCCTGGTTGACACCATATTCATTGGGCGAACAAATGATGTCAACAATTGATTTTCCAACATGACATAGAAACAGTACAGACGAGCAGAAAATGATGTCTTGGATTGCAATGCCAATATTGACCAATATATCCGCTGAGTATATTATTTAGATTGCTGCTTCATTTACCAAGGCGATTACTCAAATGCATGCATCTTTTATATTATTAATCTTCCGACCGAAGGCTCTTGATCTCTTATCAATATGTTCTCTGATCTCAGATTTATCTCAGTACAAGACTATATACATCGGCTAGAATACACAAAGACGGAAAGACAGGCGATAGTACATACTGAGCACTGCAAGACTGAGTTTTTCAGACAGCCAGAGATTATGGCTCGGATATAAAATTACATATTGATGATATGGAGCGTTACAGATGCACACTCTCAGTTTCACAAGGTGTGAACGGTTCCTTCTCTCATGAATCTCTGTCAGCGCATAATCACGATAGAACGAAACCTTGATATTCTCCTTGTATATTCCAGAGTAAGTACTCTCTCAATAATTAATCATATGTGCTCAATTCTTATTCTCTTTGCTTTCCCCTGCTCCATACTCTCAAATCTGGTAACTTTGACCTGTAAAACGGACTAGTAAGATTGCTCAATATCATTCTGCAAACCATAGTTCCTCTTATCATTGCCTCTTTATGAGTGCCCCTGGATATTGCTCTCTTTCGCTGTTGATTTGTTCTATCGGCATTTATCCTGATGATATTCCAAGCGTTTATTTCTTTCATAAAACTAAACTCTCACGTATCATTTGCCAAAGTGTTTTTGTATAACTGTGGTGAATAAGCTGGACTTTTGAGACAGTACCAAATATTTGATGTCCGACGATAAGTGATCCAAATATAGCTAGCAACAAGTGTAGAATCTCTTCTTTTTTCACCCACCGCTCTCAGTAAACTAAGACTAAATATAATCAACGTCTAGTTGGAGTTGGCGTACGTGGACCTCGTCTAGGCGGCATTCTCATTGGACTAGGTGACCTTGGAGGACGTCCTGTATATCCCATGTTAACTCTGTTGCTTCTTATCGGACTTAATGATCTTCGTCTTTGGCAAAAAACAGATGGCAAGATGTTTAGATAAATTATGGCTCGACTATATGATTCTCAACCTGCGGAATATCCACAATTGAGTGACAAATTCTCACCTCCCGTACATGCCGCCTCTTGGAGATGGTGGTCTAGGCGGAGGAGGACCCATCGGGGGTTCAGGATATCGAGAAGGAGGCGAAGATCGATTACTCCGATATGTTGGAGGGACAGGTGGTTCCCTCGCAAAACGATTTTCTCTTCTAGATGGCCTGTTATGCAACAATAGTTCGTTCATCTCACTCCAGATAACTTTCTGCACAATTAACCTTGTTTACCTACCTCGGCCCACGTTCATAACTACCTCTCCTGGGTCCAGGCGATGGATTCCTGCGCGAGTAAGGTGGTGCGTCAGGTGGCGGTAAAGGCCTTCTATCATAACCATCTCTATCATATGTATCTCTAACGGGATAATATCCTCTGTCATATCCTTCTCTTGCATATCGATCATACTCTCTATCTGGATAGCCTCTCTCGTATCCTCTCTCTCTATCGTATCCTCGGTCATACGGTGTTCTATAATCTCTCCTGTAATCTGAACCATCATCTCTTTGATCTCTAGAGTCTCTTTGATCTCTCGCATCCCGTGTTTCGCGCGGTTCGCGCGGTTCGCGAGGATAGCGATCGTACGCAGAGCGCTCGTATGGCCTGTCTAATGGAGGAGGAGCATATCTATCATCCCGTGGCGGGTAAGTGTCACGAGCTGGGTACGAATCACGGGGTGGATAACTGTCGACGGGGCGACGATCATCGTGACGAGGATGGGGTTTTCGTGGATTGGGTTCTCGAGAACTATATAAGAAAAAAAACTCGTTGAGAACGTGCCGTACATTTTTGAAAATGCACCAAGCAAATCGTGCGATTATATGAAGAGAGGTAAAATGAATGTATGTTTAACTAAGCCAATGCATAAATAGGGAATACTTCTCGACGATATTAAACAGAATTTAATCTTTCCAATTTTTTCAATAACTTTTTTACCCATCTGGAATTCGTACATTTCTACAGCATCACTAGGTTGTCTTCAATACACGCGCCCCTTATTACTTACCTAGTACAATCTCTAGCCCAATGTCCGGCTTGACCACATTTAAAACATGTATCATTTGACTTTGTATCCCCCCTACTTTTATATTCATCATTTCTTTCGGCATGAGCATACTCCACACGCAGCTGTTGACCTTGGAAATCACTTCCATGTAATTGACTTATAGCGTCATCGCAACTTCGACGTTCTTCGTATTCCTTTTGTATTATTTGTTATTTGTGAGTTTGTTTGCACACACAGTTGATAGCAGTGTCAAGTAGAAATGTGTTGAGTTAGGATCAGATAACGAGATGGCTTTTGAGCATGTAGAAAAGTTCACAGTCACTTTACGTATAGCATGTGAAGCAGCGATGCTTATTTTGTGGTCGTTAGAGCTTGCCGTTGTACATGTTATGGGTGACTGTGTGAGCTATTTACACTCTGCCATACTATTTAAAATGCGCCCAAAGGATTTCCTTTTTGAATTATCTTAATTTGCCTCATTCAAGAATATAAAAAGACAGCAGTAATATCCGCGAGAGATGGACGGAGATAGTGAGAGACAGCTGCTAAAGGAGATTGATGATGCTACGAGACAGATGTTCATAGTATATCCTAATGATTGAAGACATTCGATACTCGGAGAGTACAATAACTAAAATCTACTCTGTTTGCGCAAGCGAGACCCTTTGGACGCACATAGAGCAACACCTGAATTTAAGAGCTGCAACCCTTTGTCCATTGAGCTAATCCAAATTACTATACATCCATCCATCGTGTCAGGAGTGAAAGAAACTTACAATGAATCCATAGTTGCCCTTGAGTTCCATGTTAACCACATTGCCATACTTTGTAAAGCACTCCCTTATATCCTCCGGTCTTGCTCGTTCTGGTAAATTACCAACGTATATTTTTACACCTGAGATCGGCATCGTTTTCTTCTTACTGTGTTGCTTAAGTTTAAGGAGTCAACGTTTCCTAACGATGATCAGGCAAGGCTATTTAAGTTTTCAGCTGGTCCAACAAACACAGACGTTGTAAACCCTTATAAAGGGGGACTGGCGCATATCACGTGACTTATGTTGGATTTGTCATTCATGTGACATAATAATAATAAGATTAACTAATACTTATTATTATTATTATTATTATTATTATTATTATTATTATTATTATTATTATTATTATTATTATTATTATTCACAACTGTGGCTTAAGTTACGTGAATAATTTATCTGTACATGTTAATATTAATATGAAATTCGCGCTGGATAAAACGGTCTCGCTTTAACCGGCTTTTGCCTAACGACTCTACCAATTTTTACAACCGTAGATAACGATTCAATAATGAGCGTTGTAACTATGCTAATAAATGTGTGAAGTGTATAACAAACCATTCATGTCATCCTGTTACCATTTGAAATGTCTCAGTCTTCGTTTATGGCATTCATACATTTAAAAAGTTGATGCGTCATTATCATTTATTTGATTATTAATTAAACTTGGGCGTGCCAAGAATATCACGTTTGAATGTTGAATTCGGGCTACAAAATTTATCATACAGATGGCCTTTTGAAAGATTCCCTTGCATTCCTGGTCGCGTTTCTAGTTCACCAACAAAGAATATCATCTCTTTTATTTATGCCGGAACTGAAACTTGAACCAGAGTATATAATGCTTACCGACGTAATGAAGACAATCAACGCTAATATCGGCGTTTTTGTCAATTGCACCTCTGTAGTTCTGATTTAACTGTTGTTCTTGGTATCATTAATTGAATTGTACGTGTAATGTTAGAATTTAAAGCACGTTAAATAGTAAAGGATATGCTATTGCAGAAACTATAATCTTCAATTAAACCACGATTGATAATTACCGCCAGACTTTGAACGGCGTACAAAGTTGCTCTAACCCTAACCCTAGTCAAAAAAAAAAAAAAAGAGAAAAAGAAAAAGAAAAATGGAAAATTTTGCCTCATGACACATTTATTGATATTTTTGCACACAATGTATCAGGTTAATAAAGTAACGCGTTAGATACATACGTAATTGTTGTAAGATTGATGCCAATAACAAATTTGTATAGACTGTTTAACCAAACCGTAGGCCATAATTTCCGCCTGTACCATTTGGATTGTCATGTCTACCTCGTTGTCCGCGGCCTCTTCTATAGAAACCCCTTCCACCTTGGTAATCATTACCAGATTCTCTACTAGCTCTATTAGACGTTCTACTATTATTCCCAATATTGTATCTAGTGTTATCTCTAGTATTTTCTATATCATTGCCTACGTCATCATTATCTCCATTTACATTTCTATTGACCTTACTACTATAATGATTCTTATTATGTCTTGTACCTAGCGTATTCGCCGAATTTCTTAAATCCACCACTTGATCTCTAGTTTCGCGAACTTGTTGTTCATCTTTTGCGTCTTCTGTTTTACGTCTCGTTGCAGTGAGTTTGACGTCTAACTTTTCAAAGTCTATCTTTCTTGTGTGATCTTTGATTTTTTTCCAACTGTGTCTCTATCATTATTGGTAGACATATCACATCTGTACATTTCTTCGTCGCTGTCAGTAATGTCATGTGCCAGCTTTGTCGTACTGTTTTTTTCCACATCCACATCGTTTTCTTTTCCTTTTAGACTTCGTTTCTCTGATTTTAACTCCTCACACTTATTGCTTAACTCCACTGCTCGTCCATCATACTCTTGTTTTAATGCAATCATATCAGCTTTGATTTCCTGCGTATACTCATCAAGTTTCGTTTTTGATGGTAGAGCTGCCTTGTATTGAGATATTTGGAATTTGAGAATAGTTATGATTTCATCAAGAATTTTTGTCTCTTGGGTCTTTATGAGAAGTGAATGTGCGAGGGATGAGATTTGTTCCTAGTTTGAAACAGTACGTTGATGGATTAATTACGATAACAATGCAACTATATGAACGTGAGTAATTATGAGTAAGTTATACAAATATCGTCAATACCGAATAACATATATAATATGACAAATATCAATTGTCCAATTGTCCACATAACTAATGTAAAGCATTCTTTGCCGTTAGCTTCATATCGTGTGTATGTCAACAAACCTTCATCTTTTCATCGTATCTGCCCTCTTTCCTGTCATGTTCATCCCAATCATGATACAAAGACAACAAGCTCTTCCCCGTCGTTTTTGTTCCGCATAGAGGACACTCTGGCTTTATATTCAACCATTGGTGAATGCAGGATGTGTGAAAAACATGACCGCCTTGTTAATTTAGATAGTATGAGTATGAGTATTCGTGGCGATAAAATGCGATTGAATCATCTACAGTACCCCCAACCCTATAATAATCCATCAATCGTTCAAACAATTATTTGCAATCTAATATAACATACAAGGAGTAGCAACAACGGATGATTTATATTTCCCTGTGTGAGTCCCAGATTCACTTTCATTTAGATGCAAATAACATATTGTACAACTTGCCATAGTGTTGGCAGATACTTCGAGATGAAATTTATGATGTATTATTCGGGGGTGCTGCAACAAAACCAGACAGTGAACGTTACGCCACAGAAAGATCTCAGGGTCAAAACTGCTGAGCGCCACAAATTTATCTGGCCCCAGTTTTTCTATAAGCTGAAGTCAATTAACTGGGGAAGCGCAACTGTACCGATACCTAATTCCCTATTTATACTAAAGTTGCTTATTATCTGCGGAATGTGAATACTGTATGTTCAATCAAAATGTTAGGAACGTATAATTTCAATCGACGTTGTTATTAATTAATACTTATAAAGCTTGCGAAACTCGTTTCTATTTCATCTACGCATATTCCGTTGATATTATATTATTTCCATCCGAAGTGAAACTTTCTCTTTTGTAAATGATACCAACTGAAATATTGTGCTAGCGTTTGATCTCTTCGCATAATTTGTTATCTGATTTCCCTTTGAATAAACATAATATGTGTTTAGCCTTTAACTATATCATAACTGGCGTTGAAAACGTCGCTTGGCATCCACCTAGAAATCAGAGACTGGTCGTTTTGACGATAGTTAGTCTGTGCATACCTCGTTATGAACTTGAGATTCTATCACATGAGACTTTTCGTGTGTGTATTAACGTGTTTCGAACTTTGCCTGTTCGTGTTAATATTAATTGCAATTTGTCATGTTTATCTGCGCTAGTCAGCTAGCAGGATCTCTTTAACCCAATAATACATTGAGGCTTGTGTGGCTAATAATCATCTACGCATCCGTGACACGATTATTTCCAATTCCCAT